TTACTGGGATATTGGCAAAATTTGCTGATTATACTAAACTACATGTGGTGTCCAAGAGAAAACTTTCAGCCGTTGCTGAAAGGGCCCCTCACTACACCCAACAGAACTCATCAGGTCTTCTGCTACCAGCTCAGTTATCCAGGCAGCTCAGCTGTGCTCAGAGAAAGGAGCTGTCAGGGATCCTTTAGGAGAGGATCTGACACCCAGCCAGGTGCTTTCTGCACTGTTACCTCTCTGCGTAACGCCACAGCACGTTCACACCTTGAGTGCTGCACGCAGCTCAGGATCCTGATTCACAAGTGTTCATAAAAGAAGCACTTTTTCCATATATACTGTGTAATTATATTGCAGAACCCATTTCACAGGCACAACAGGGACTAGCAGTTCAGAAGGAACCCAGACAGCCATGCGGAGGGCAGGATCATCACGGGCTGCAGCCGCAGCACACACGCAGCCTCCAGGCTGGGAATCCACGAGCATCTGCCAGCAAGGAAAGCACAGCCTACGCCCCTCTGGTAGGCTGTGAGGGGTCTGGGTCCCACAGATTTGAGAAGTTACCAACCCACAGACCCTTCACTGCTCACAAACTTGGGCTGCTGACATCGCCAGAAAGCAGACTGGGTCAAGATGTGCTCCGGCCACAACCCTGTGAGAACCACAGTGCCATTTTTAATGAAAAGTTACACAGAAGGCCTACAAATCTGAATACTGGCTTATTTCTAAAGCAACTAAACCACCTTTTTGATGTTAAGAAGAAAAGATCTGATAAAAAAGAAAAAGAGGCACCCCATGTGACTTCGCAATCCTCTAGCACAAAACAGACGGCCCTCTGATGTATGAAAAGCCACAAAGACACACACAGACCCTGAAAGAACAGATCCTGCCAAAACAGCAAGAGCTGGGCTTTGGAAGAACACAGAAAATACAGGCCCTTCCAAAGAAGGATGCAGCACAGGGAAACCGAGGTAAGACAGCACATGAACGCAGAAAATATGCAGAAAGGACACACCTGAATATCGAGCTGTTTACAAAGCAGTTTCAGCTGAGCTACCCAGCCACACATTCACACAGATCTGCGCTTCAGTAACTGAGAGCATGGGGTTAGAAGTGGCGATTCGTTCCCAAAATGCCGATTAGCATCCCCATACTTACGTAGCCAAGATGCCCACGCTCAAGAACAACTTGATAACCTCGGTGATGCACACGGCCGTGGTAGAAAAGTAGAGCTCTGTCTGCACTGTCCTCGTGTACCGCAGCGCTACCGTGTACGTTGCCGCTACCAGGGTCATCACAGTGAGGCAGTACAACTTGAACGGTAAGCTGACATTTTCTGAAAGAAAACAAAGATACCAACTTAGCACGACCTTCGCTTTTACTTAAGAACTGAAGCAGGGTGTCCTACAGCCCCAGAACTGTGCCGAAGACTGTACAATCATTTCAGTGTTGTGAAATGTTTTGTACAAAAAGTCTAAGATAAACCTTAAAGTCTCTTCTCAAAAAAGACAGTACAGAAGCTCCAGGTGTTTGACAAAAAGCCATCCTCTTGCCCTAACAGCGATCCTTTTTTCTAGAAAAACTAACCATGGACTAATATTTGTCTTTCTGTGCCTCCCTACCCTTAAGGTGCCAGTACGTGCTTGCTCTGGAGCGGCAGCCTGTCCTCGCCTCGTTCACTGTAGAAAACACTAAAGTTATGTCTATTTGAGTAACCTGAACCACACAAGGACTGCCTATCATCGGTGTAGCTCTGCATCTTCCCTACTCCGACCACTGCTGCAATTCTGGGAACAGCTGTGGCCTGGACCGATGCTATTTTGCAGTTTGGGAGCTGGCCTGTCCCAGGCCTGGTGGCAGTAAAATATCCTCGTTCCCTGTGGATATCCACCCCATGGGCGCCCGCTGGTGCTTCTGCAGCATCTTTTGGGGCATCGTCTGTCATCTTCCGAGTGTGTCAATTAAGCTGTGTTTCGTTAGGAGAAGTTTATGTTCCTTTGCTGATAAGGAGATGAGCTAACAGATAAGCTCCAGGCAGTTTTGTAGTAACTTTGTTCGTTTAATTTGGGAATTAATTGCCGAATCCAGCGCAGGCAAGGCTTTGGTTCGTTCTTCTTCGCAGCCAGCGCTGCCTTCCCTTGCATAACCTCCTGCTCCTCTCACCACCTAAATTAGCGCTTCCTTACAGTAACATCTCCCCGCCTCAGCAGCCACTTTACGAGGTAGATCTGATTAGTTTTTGGAATAATGACGCTCAGAAGTGACTTACAGCTGTCGGTTTGAAATTTAGACTTGTGTTGGGGAAGGGGGAATTTGAGGGCACCGCTGGGAGGTGACATGAGCCCAACTGTGGGGATTTCATTTTTTAAAATCTGTAAGACATCACGTCAAAGCAAAGGTACATAAAATCAAATTTAGCATTTGCCTACGATAACTACTCATAAAAAGGGGGACGAGCTGCGTGCCCCCACTCAGCAAAAGATCCCCCAAAGAGGCAGCCCCCGCCCCAAAATGGCCCCGGGGGTCCCCAAGATGGCGGCCGCCTCCTCCCGCCGCGGGCGCCCTCACAGCTCCCCCTCCCCACAGCCCTCCCCCCCCTCCTCCTCCTCCCACCCCCCCCGTGCCCGCGGTGGTCGCGCCCGCCGCCGCTCCCCCCCCGCCAGCCGGGCGCGCCCACCGCAGCCGCGCGGGGGGGGCGGGCTGGGGCTGCCCCCGTCCCCCCCCCACACACACACCCGGTGCCGTCCCGTCCCGTCCCCCCGAGGCGCTCACCCCTCGCAGCCGACATGGTGCCGGGCCCATCGCACCATAGAGAGCGCGGAGCCGGCCTACAACGCCCCGCGCTCCGCTTCCGCCTTGCACCATGGAGGCGGAGGAGCGCCGCGCCCCGAGCGTCCTCCCGCAGAGGGCGGGAGGAGCAGGGGGGGGGGGGGCTCTGTGTGGAGGTGTTGTCGGCTGTGTGGCCGCCCTGGTGCCTTAAATCATGGAATAAATACACGGAAAGCGCCGCAGAGTGTGAAATGTGACGGGGAGGTGGTGCTAGGCTGAGGGAACGGCTGAGGGAAGCCCCGGGTGGAGGGGTGGGAGGCAGGAAAATCGCCTCACGGCGCGGGGCTGCCCCGCGGGGCTCACCTCAGCGCCCCTCAGCCCCAGCTCCTCTCTCAAAACTCCTGTTTTCTCGGCCCTTCGTCAAAAGTGGTGTTCAAGTAACTCGCTGTGCTCCTTGCAGTGAGGTGCGGTCCCACTGGTGCCAAGTGTGGACAGGCAAATCACAGAGTCACAGAATCACAGAATTTCTAGGTTGGAAGAGACCTCAAGATCACCCAGTCCAACCTCTGACCTAACACTAACAGTCCCCACTAACCCATATCGCTAAGCTCTACATCTAAACGTCTTTTAAAGACCTCCAGGGATGGTGACTCCACCACCTCCCTGGGCAGCCTGTTCCAATGCCTCACAACCCTCTCGGTAAAGAAGTTCTTCCTAACATCCAACCTAAAACACCCCTGGCGCAAAATGGAGCACCCATGCCCACTGGACTCCATCCCCTCACGCCAGCACATCCCTTCATCCTGATACAAAACAAAAGCACCAAAACGGGCTAGATGCTGCAAGGTATGTGGCAGGGCCCTCTCCACAAAGGTTATGGCAAGAGGGAAGCCCACAGCAGCACAAAACAGTGGTTTTACTAACGCTGCTATTATGTGAACATTATTTTCTAATTTGTATTTACTGAACGTATACACTGTTACTTGCACAGTTTCTTCCTACAAGGCTAGGTCTTGCCTGATCTTTCCATCACAAACACACACCACTGCACAAGGAAGAGCTGCTGAAAAGAAGTGGAGATTCAAATAAAGACAAGCTCAAGTTCAAATGGGCATGGACTGAAAGTTGTCTTCCCTTCCACACGAATAAAGGCATTCTGAAAAATAATCTCTCCTTTTTTTCCCTGTACTATTTTAATGGCAGTAAACACCCAGGAAGCACCAATCTCACATATCTCTGTCACTGCCAGTAGTAAACTTTTCCATGCTGACATGTTTCTGCTTTGTCAAATCTGAAATTACAGTCGTATTCCCCACTATTTCACAATACTGCCATAGCTTCCACAAAAGTAAAAGAATAAAAGGATTTTCACTCATCAATTTTCTTTTATATAAGTGCATTTATATATTCTTAAAAAAAAACAGCTTATTAGTCCAAGGTAAGAACTTTAACATAAAAGGTTCAAAGGAAATAATGATAAAAATGTACAGAACAAAAAGTACTGTATTAACCATCAACGGGCTATTTGAAAATCAGTGCCAGATCATCATTGAAAAACCTGGAGAAGCAGCATATCTGGCTGCTACTGATCCTTTCCTTTCCTTTCCTTTCCTTTCCTTTCCTTTCCTTTCCTTTCCTTTCCTTTCCTTTCCTTTCCTTTCCTTTCCTTTCCTTTCCTTTCCTTTCCTTTCCTTTCCTTTCCTTTCCTTTCCTTTCCTTTCCTTTCCTGTCCTGTCCTGTCCTGTCCTGTCCTGTCCTGTCCTGTCCTGTCCTGTCCGAAAAATCAGCTAGTAGAAACAGTTTATCTAAGTTTTATATGCACTCCCCTTCTGATCTTTTATTATTATTAGTAGTAGTAGTAATAGCTTGTGGATTATTCTCAGATGTTTAACTCTTAAAAAGTGAAGCCAAATACACCTTGGACAGCTAAAAAGAGAATGTTACCCTGCACAATGCCACAGAAAAGTCACCTAGCCCAGGAAACTACGATGCACCATGGCGCACCTGAGCAAAAGGAGAGTTACAAACCTTATCCAATCCCACGTGGTCCCACAGGTGCATCAGGATAATTTGCAGAAAATAACTGGTGGAGCTTTTTGTTGTTGTGAAAAGCATCTCTACTTTAATGTATTCCCTGCTTCGTCTGAGAAGATTTTAAAGCTCAACCGATTCAGCTTTTCACAAAGAGGAAATAATAGCTGCTGTTGAGCTTAGCAGACCTGGCACATATTTCAGCACCACAGTGAAACGGAGATAAAAACCTTTTCCTGTTGTGCTTTAGTTTTTTTAAACACAAGTGAAACAATGCCTCGAGTTCCTATTGTTTGCTGTCTGCTGGGAAGCACACGTTTTAGCCAACAAACACAGAAATTATTGGAGACCTCAAGCGGCTGCCAGAGCCATCCTAGATAGATTCAGCTCCCCGCCCCAGCCACTGCTCATCAGGCCCGTTACTTGGAAAGCCCTTAACAGCAGCACGAACGGCCAGGCCCAAGAACCCAACCCGATTTCATCTCACTGCTTTTACCTTCTGGGCAATTACGCTCTGCGGGTAAAGCTGTGACATCTGGGTGACTCTCTTGGGATCAGTTTTACTTCACACCACTGAGAATTATGCCCCTGTAGGAGCTGCGGGATTGGCCCCACATCTCATAAAAGCAGTGAGTCTAACGTTTTGCTTTTCATTTACCAAAGCCACATCTTAATGGTTGTGTTTCAGCAAGCGGTCATCATAGTAAAACACCAAGAAAATCTCAGACCCCCTCTACACATTTAAATGTTAGTTTAAGTTAAAGTTTTCAGGCACATGTCCACTCTAAATTGCTTTTTAAACGCTCTGTGTTTCAGGCTCTTCATTTCTGTCTCAAGGCCATTCAGCAGCCCTAGCAGGTAAGACAAATAAAGTAAGTCAACTGCTCCTGGAATCAACAGACACAGCAAATTATTTGGTAACTTCATTCAGATATATATTGGGATTTTTATATGTATTTAGTATATTTCTGTAGGTTTCTCATTTTCACTTAGGTTTCATCTATTGGTCTTGTTAAGTCCACTTTGACCATACGCGTAGCAGCAGATGATCCTCCTCGGAGCCCTGCCAAGAAAATCTGTGGTCTGGGTACATTGCTGGAGTTCTCATGCTTAGTCTGGGTGCTGACGTCTTTTGGCAAGTACACCTGGGTGGAGTTCTCCCTTCTCAGATGGCTGAGATCAGTCTGCATGGCATGAGTTAACTTGCGACGCAAATTGGCCTAAGGACACAAAAAGAATCAAAATTTTGTTTGAACATTTTAGCAACATTTGCATATTGTACCTCTACGGGCTTCACAAACCTGTAATGTTGCACGCTTCTTCCTACCTTAAGTTCATTGAAACTAACCCCTGAAGCTAACAGAATGTGTGAACAAAACTGTATGCAGCCCCACAATTTTAAAATTTTAAGTTTTTGTTAAATGCTAAAGATTTTGTTTTGTTAGAATGAAATGTCATTTTCATGTTAAGCTCTGCCAGGGCTTCAGGTTTATTTCAATCAGTTGGAAAGTACACTGAATGCAGTGGAAGGCAGATTAACCTCCTGGTATCTACAAGCTAAAACAAATCTGAAGATCCCAAACTTTGTGGACAATTAAACTACAGGATCTAGCCTTTGGTTTCTACCAAACATGATGAGATCTGGTCGTTGGTGTCACAGAGTATCAAATAAAAAGGCAAAAATGCCTTCTTTCCAGGCATTACTTGTTAGTCCCTTGGCAAGTGGCACAAGATAGGTAATTTATGATGGTAGTAATAAAGCCCTGTTTAATCATAGCAACTGCTGTAGATAGAACAGTATCACTTATGAAGTGTTAATATTACCAAATCAGCAGTTAAAACAAGGAAATGTATGCTCCTTCTTCCATATCAGCAATGATAAAAACCACTTCAAATTGCACAACGTATCGTTATCACTGAAATACACAAAATACAGCCTCATGTGGTGGGATTCTGGCCCCTACTTGTAAGTGAGAAAGTCCCCGAGTGTGCAGTCCCGACACTGGAGTCTGAAGTCCAAGTCCATGGAGTGATTAAGTTGGCCTGAAACTGGCTGTTTGTGTCAGGATAAGCCAAAACACCCTCCAGGCTCCACCAGTTAGATCTATACTGACTGTAATGGAAGTTTGTCTACATGTTGACACAATTCGGTACATTAATCTACCACTGAATCTTACGCACTGTGTCACAGGAAAATACAGAAAAGAATAATGAATTTACAGAAAAAATGTGATGGAAAGAAAGAATATTTTATTATTAGTTTTTCTTTTTTTTTTTTTTTTTCCAATAAAGGGTTTTGCTGACAATTGAAATGAGTGAATGCTGAGTGAGTGCTATTGCAAGGAATATTGCATGCTTGTACAGAGAAACAAATGTGAGCTGAAAATTTTACTGCTAACATCAAATAAGGCTTCTTAAAAAGTCCTATTTTAATACCTCAAGTTTTCTGTCTAAGTACAAACAACAGAAAAGAAACCCAAGGCCTCTGAGCTTATCCTGTCTCACAACCTGCAAATATGTCCATTGCTCCTCTAATAGTGTCAAATTTACAGAAGCATTGGTAAGCTGCATTTGTTATTTCAGCACTTTGGCTGTAAATGTTTTATCAGCTCCACATTACAAATTCAGCATAAGCAGTGCAAATGCTTTTGCAGGTGCCTCGTATTTTTTGTTTCAACCCTGCATCGCCAATCTCCCATACGGACAGCTGATGGGACACCCCAAGTACTTTGTCATTAAACTTTTCAAATGAATGAGCTTGTAAGCTCTCCAAGTTCAGCTCTTAGAAAACATACACCTTTGCTTATGCTAAAGATAAGCATAGCCACTGAACACATCTTGGCACTTATTTATGTCCTTCTGTCCACTAGAGAAGCAAAATGAGGCTTCAAGCTAGGCCACTTGTAAACCTAACTGGCTTATTTATATATATTTGCTTCTCTAGTTAATATATATATATATTAACACCTATTGCTCAGAAGCCTTTGCAAACCAGCTCATACTGTCAAAAAATCCCACTCTAAAATTTTTGGTTTCCTTTTATAATGTTAGAAAGTTGATGGCAAGAAGGATGACAGAAAAGAAACAAGCCTGACAGCAGACCACAGGCCTTCACAGTGCATCTGTTCACAAAAACAAAACCCCAAACCCACCTCCCTGCAGCACTCTGTGTCCAGTTATTGTTGGTAACTGCAGTGTGACCTACACAAATGAGTTCATTTTGATTGAATTGTGAAAATCAGGTGCTACACCTTAACAACCGCATGGGCTGGGAAAAGAAAAGCTCCTACTAAGCAGCTTTTTAAGTACATGCTGTTACTTTAGAAGCTTTTATGTATGTCACCAACCCTCTGTGGGACTGTGATTTCCAATCCAACAGCAAATCATCATGATTTATATATAACAACCATTTCCTCTGGGTTACATACACAACAAAAAAGCTATTTGCACTGTTTCTTACATATCTGGATTGGTTGTGCATGAAAGAGGGGAATTTCACTTTCAAATAAAACCCGATGAGTTGGTTTTAGCAAACATCGGGAAACAAGATAAAACGAAAAATACCTCACTATGCCAAAAAAAAAGAGAAAAGCCTCATGCTTTGATTTCTTTCAAGGGTGGATAAGTCAGTTCAAAGAAATCTTCTTCAGGGTGAACCACATCCAAAGGTATTCCTAACTGCTCTGTCTGCCAGCTGTTACATTTTTTCTCCTCTTACTTGACGGTGATACTAATATAAATTGTTCAACTTGAAATAAAGTTTTGCTTGACACAAACCCTTCTGCAACCCCATTTAAAACCAAATAATAATAATAAAAAATACAAAAAACAATGTATATAGCAATATCTTAAAACTGTTAAATTTATTTGAGTGTAGGGAAGCGACTTTAAAATTCAGTGCTAATCAATAAACTCACCGCTTAAAGAAGGCAGATGAAAAATTAAGAATGAATCGACCTAGCAGAGGAAGCACTGCTTAAAAAATGGTGAAAAAATGACTGAACCAGTTTTAATAAAGGCATGCATCTTTGGGTAAGTTTAGACTGCAAAGTACAATACTTCATAATAATTTAGTCTGAACTTTGTTATCCAACACATGAAAATCTGGTAGTAACAATACGAACCAATTTTATAGCTTTTCTTCTCAGTTCCCACTCATTCCATTCATAGGACTTCACAATAGACGGAGGCAAGATGTGAGTATCAGTTTGAGTGCTGCTGTCATGTTTTGTGGTTGGTTTCATCAAACTTTTGTCTGCACTTCTTGTCTGGATAGAGGAAAAAAAGCCAAAAAGCAAGGCATTAATGAGGAGAATACAGGCATCTAAGACAGAATACGGATATGCATGTTCTTAAAAGCAATAGAAATCTGAAAACCTGTAAATTGCAAGCAGGTAATGATTTTTACATTCAACAATATTTTTGTTCCCCTGAACCCGCTGAAAAGAAAAGAAACCAATCAGAATTTGCTGCGTTTAATTTCTGGCAGAAAACCCTCTAGGTAGACACCACAGCTGAATTTCAGACTCTCACATCCTGGGTAAGTGCTTAATCATTGGACTTTGATAAAAGTCCATGGGCAGTATTTTATGAGGCAGGCATCTCAGTTACCTTCAGGAACAGACTAAAAATCGTAAATAATAATCAGGAGAAATGCCAACATCTCTGCCAGAAGTAGGATATAAACCATATCTTTCTCACCAAGGGTCAATTCAAGACTACATACTCTGCATAGCTAGGGATTTAGAATTCACAACGTGTCACACAGAAAATCTATACATCAAAATCAAGCCTTTGGATTTCACATTTTAGCAGCGTGACGTTCATTTTTAATGAGTCCCCTTTTGTTCTGCAATACATTCCATAAATCCTGTCCCCAGATATCACTACATGCTCATCCAGCACACACTGATGAACTCCTGATCTAAAGCTCTAGTTAACGTGGTATCTGGCTCATCTTCTGCTGCATTTACTTCCTGTCCCTTTAAGCTAGTTTTGCAATAATGGGGAAAAGAAACATCAGACATGGGATCTGCCTAGCATAAGGGTGAGCAGTTTTCATCACTGCCATAATCCTTTGGCTCTACATACTCTCCTAGGAAGAGACCAGGTGAGAAGAAACATTTTCCCCTTCTGCTGTTATCTACACCACGAAGGTCTGGAAGAGAGGGACCATCAGATGTTCTGTATGATAGGCAGATTATTATACTTCTGGGCATCATCTGTTCCGTTTATGTTCTGGAAAGGACAGATCAACCAGTGATCCGACAGCTCTTCAGAAGGGGCGATGTGTACCTGTGTGTATGGAGCAAGGTATTCAAAGTGATGGTGAAGCTCGAGCAGATGAATTAGCTCTGCGTGTTCTTTTGCTTTTTCTATGGTCAGCTGAATGAACTTATCTGGGTCTTGAGCAAAAATGTAAGCAGATTCTTTGGAACTGAAAACGTAGCATCTGTCCTTGTGCTTCAAAATCCCAATAGCAGGATTTCCTAGGGAAAACAAAACAAAACAAAACACTAACAAAATAAAATAGTAAACAATTTGATATTCAATACAAAAGACATGTGATCTTGATTAAAAATGTTTCCCTCTAGTCATTTTTTTTTCTGAAATAAGAATAAATCCCTGAAATACTTTTAAATACAGAAAAGTATATTCCTTTAGGCCAATACAACTGCTTTTGATCAGTTTACATCCAGCATGCTTTAATCTAGATCAGACTCCATGTTTGTGAGAAAAACTATGGATAAAACACCCACAGCAAAAACATAAAAACAAATGTTCATACCCAGAAATGTTTCCCCTATAACCTCCAGCAAATATCAGACTGCAGATCAGCAATCAATTTATACCAAGGGGCATTACACTGAAATTATGCAAAGGGGATGAAGCAGCTGAGAAGCTGGACAAGAAATTAACAGAGAAAATTAAATGTCAATAATGGCCAAATAACTTACTGAGGAAAACATAAACTGAGCTACAACGAATGACTCTCTTTCAGCTGTCATTGTCTAGGAAAGACTCAGAATTATCACAGACAGTGCCTTGAAGATATTAAATGGCACTATTCAGTGGCAATCAAAAAAAGCTCAAAGAATATCAGAAATTAGTAGGATATAAACAGAGAGGGAGAAAAAAATTATAAAAACCTATATGCTATGTTTGCTATACCGCATTTTGTTCCAACCCCTTAAAATAAGAAAAATAAAATTAAGTGAGCTGGGAGTTATCAGAGGCTTGAGTTACTCTTCACAGAAGGAAGGGTTAAATAAATAGTTGTCTCCAGTATTAAAAAGAAGCAACCAAAGAGAAATAATATGATTCAGGATTAGAAACCCATGAATTGCATGCAGAAGTTCAGATATAAAATGACTGTTTGCTGATCTTCCTAATAGAAAAACCATGAGCTGTGATGAAATTACCAAGCCAGAGCTTAATCCCTGCTCAGAAAGAGCTACTTTTTCATATTATACATATTTACAGTTGTGGGACTTTGACAAGTAGAATATCCCATGGCGAACTCTGAATGGATTCAAAAAGCAATTAGATAAATGAAAAACCTCTGACAATGATTGTTTAACAGAAAGGTGAAAACACAACATTTCTCTGAAGTAATCCCATAACCACTGGCTGCTAGAACAGGGAAGGATATTAACGAAGGAAGGACCACTCCTACATGATTTCTCATGGTCAGATGCAAGGCTAGAGAGACCTTCAGTCTAACCCAGGACAGCTGTTCTCACACACAATACTAAGTAAATGTAAGATATTTACACTGCCATTAAGGCATACACTTTTTTAATAATGCCAAGAACTGGCCACATTTTCCTCCCAGCCTGCTGTAGGTTTAAAATAGTTCTACATGGACAGGTTCCATAAAACACTGGAGGACAGGATACAGAAAAACTGGGGTAGCTGAAATACGATTTGCTTTCAAGACAAATGGCCCTGAATCAAACCAAATAAATCCTACCATTAGCTGACCACAAAGTGCAATTTTGCACTATTCAATTCAGAGAAGACTTTTGATATTTTATATCCACTGCTTAAAGCTGTATGTAGGCATGTATGATGTAGGCATGTATGGGTGTGGTTCGACACATGAAATAGAAGGAATGACCATTTACGGATGACTTTATGAAAACACATTGACAATAAACAAACCTGCATTCAGTTGCAATGTAGGTTATAGAGATGCACAAATAGCAGGAGGAAACATTTGTCCATCCCATTTTGCCTCTGCTTATTCATGCCTACTTTCTCTTGAAGCCCCCCTACCTTCTATTTTGGGCAGTTTATCTGGGTATTTTTTAAAGAAAAATACTTCAACAGGGGAAATAAGTTATCTGGGAGTGAAAATTACACACGTGAAATTACAGTACTCCAGATTTGACAAAAAAAGAAGACACATTCAGAACATCTTCACATCTTCTCTTGTACTTGTGTACACGTGAAGTAAGATCTAACTACAGAGCATACCTGGAAGGGTGAGGCCTTTTACACCAATTGCGTATGCACAGAAACCATGGTACTGGATTAGCAACTGATCAAAATCAGCAGTAGTCTCTGGAAAAAGCCATTCTTGGTTCTCAAAATCTGAAATGTTTACTCTTGTTCCTAAGAAACGATTTAACAAAGGAAGAATTTCATTAACAAAACATCTGATGTTTAAAATATAATCATGTTACAGGATAACCTGATTACTGTTATCTTCCCAAACTTCAGGCCTTCCATAGAAAAGATCCTAAGGAACCGGTCCTGAAGGGCTGAAAAAGCAGCCTTCAGGATCCTTTGTTAAAAGCATTAGTTTTCTTTGGAAACAGGACAAAAGAATATCATATGGTAATATCATATGGTCCCACTTGTTTCACCCACTCACACATTCTAAATCTCCTTCAGTATAACGTGGTCATTAGGGATAGCATCTTCACCAAAAACACACTTCTGGCAAAAAGATAAAGCCCCATTGTTTAGCTTTTTTAATCCTCCATTCACTTCAGAAGTTCTGAAAGGTGTAAGAAGTCATAAACTTACGAAACTTAAAAAAACCTCTTAGAAGTATTCTTTCTTCTGACAATTCTGAATTTTTATAAGGCAGTTTGTAGCTACTTTATAAGTAGCTAGTTTATAAATAGTTTGTAGCTACTAGAAATATTTTAGATTTATATATAAAAGCCCAAACTGTACATGAAAAATAAATCCACACACTGCAAGGGCTGCATTTTAATTTACCGTGGAGATTTTAATTATTAAAAAATCAACGTGTAGTTCCTTCTGTATGTAAAATTTAAATTATAAGATCTTGAGATGTGGAAGAAAAGGAAAAAAAAAAAAGTAACTTTCAGTACCCATGGTTTCGCTTATCCTCTCCTCATCGGTTTTCACAGTCACTCCTTCAAGAAGAGATGTTAGCACTTCCTCAGGAAAAAGCTGCGATTGTGCTTCCAAGAACTGCTGCAGATTGTTAGTCATATTGGAGAGAAAGCTCAGGAGTAGTAACTCGTTCTGAAACCCAGTCCACACATTACAAATTGCAACAAAGAGAGGCTGTAAAATAAAGAAAACCATCTGAAGTCTTGAGTTGTTTTATGTCTGCAACATAACCCTAGTGCTGTGCACAACAATCCCTAACATGAACAAAGCTGACCCACAAGGCCTCCAGCACCCCAAAATCCCAGGGTGGGAGGCTGTGGGGATTTGAAAGTGGACATCCCATCACTCCAGGCCCCTATATCCAGCCTCAGAGAGGTGCAGGGTTTTGGACAAAACTGGAAGCTGCAATTCCCAGCAGCAATGCTGACATAAATGTGCACTCACCTGTCAAAGAAGACCTTCAGCTTTGAGTATAAGTGCTTAATTATAGTGATATTAAATGTGCCCTGTTGCCTTTAAGTACATAGCATTTATGGGAAGAGATTCAACAGAAATGCATGCTAACAGCACTGTATTTTATGCTTGTTCCTGACATTATTACATGAAGGGTCAGAAGAGTTGGCTCTGGAATTCATCAGCATCTCTAATGCTGTGGATAAGTTATGGGTATAAAAATGGAAGAAATGAAAGGAAAGGAAGCAAGACCAAAACCATTCTTACTCAAAAAAAAAAAAAAAAAAAAAAAAAGGATTAAAAGAGTAGTAATGAAATCTACTATGTCTACTAAAACAAAGGGTTGGTACAAATACAACAAATATAGTCCAGGAAGCATCCAAGAGCAGCTTCTAGGAAAAACGTGGATTCAGAAAGGCTAAATTCAGATCAGTGAACTGAATCTTCCTAGGCTCCTTCCATCACCCGGGGGAAGAAACAGGCTTTCCCAGAGGAAGTCAAATACCCTAAACTGGGCTTTCTTCTCTCACGTGCCTCTGAGAAAACCCTACTTATCTCTTCCCTCTGTCTTTATGACTGTACTAAAGTGTGTATCAGGCACTTAAGCCCCACGAAGATACAGAAGAAGAGAGAAAAACTGCTTTAAGCAGCTCAGTGAGCAAGGTAAATGTCCTCCAAACGAGAACATCTGGCTTATAAAATCACAGCACACATAAGCTGAAGTGTCAGATCACACCTGAGTTGCACCTCAAAGTGCCATTGCCATGAGTTTCCAGCAGATACCCCCAAGGGAAGTGCAAAAATACTCTAAGTAGATGGGGAATGATCTGCCTTCCTCCCTCCTCTATATCAGGCTTTATTTTACTTTCTAATTATTTGTTCTGAAGGATGAAATAAAACCTAACATACGTATAAAGGGCATGCTAGTTCAGCAGCTACCTACACGGAATTAAAATGGTAGGCACATCACACAAAATAATGAGCTCTTCCAAGAAAAGTATATTTATGGAAGCCTGCTTTCTGACGTCTTTCTCTCCCATATTCTTCTTACCATGCCACCATACTAATCCCAGGTTTTCATAGTGTAAGCAGGCACCTTCTTTAAATATTTACAGTTCACATCACTCATTCTCTCTTCCCCCCATGTCCTGTAACCACCAACCAAGCACAGAACATGGATTGCACGGAGGTACGTGTCTGCTCACTGGCCAGATGTCTGGCTGGACTCATCACTGTGGCATTCCCATTGCAGAGCCCTTAGAAGGGCTCTAATTGTGTCTGTCCAATTACTTATTTTTCAGAGAACTTGCAGAAAATGACATATTCCGAGAGCTTTGGGCTCTGACAAGTTCAACTGAAACTGGCCAACGGATTCAGCAATTATTAGGAAGGGCAAAGAGACTGAAATCTCTATCACAGTAACCCAATTTCTTTAGAAAATGTTACCAAGGAGCCATACTGTACTTGCAGAATTGCTATCTGAAAGGATTTCAAAGCAATCATATTCTGATGTGCTGTTATCAATATGTCCTAACAATTTCTGCAGGAACAGGAGAGAATATTTACACAAAACAGGGAAGTATCACTGTAATTCTACAAATACCAACAAACCACTCGAGACACTTACAGAAAAACAGTATTTAAATCCTTCCCTCTGTTTTGTACCTTGCTTTCCTTGTACCTTGAGATCAAGTCTGATAGCTTAGTCACCCCTTGAAAACTACCAGGAGTGCTGTTATAAAAGAGAAAATAATGCAGCCTTTTTCTTAAAGCAACCTATGCAAAAACACACCTGTAAAGTATTTTGTAATCATTTCCCTTCTTTTTCTTTTTTTTTTCTTTTTTTTCTTTTTTTTTCTTTTTTTTTTTTTCTTTTCATAATTAAAAACAAGTAAATTTTCCATTCAAAATACTTACAAAAACGTCTTTGGTATCTACAGAAACCTTATTCTGGACTATGTTTTTTAACTGCTCCATTGTTGTTGCAAACTGCACGTTCATCTTTTCAACTTCTTGAGCTCCCGTAATTGCATCAGACTGGAAAGAGAAAGTACTTCAGGTAAGAAGTATGAGAGTCAAAAAATGAAAAATTTAGCAACAAATATCTATGTTGACCTCTTTGTTCAGCGACTTTAAAGAACAAAATTAACCCTAATTTTCAACAAAATGATTTTTTTCTTGAGTGTTTAGGTATAAGACCAGGCACTTCTCTCAAACCCATTCTAGGAATTTTTACATAAAACCTCAACTCCTTTGAAATGAAAAGAAATTGAAAAAAAAAAAAAAAAGAAAAAAGGGAGAGAGAGAGAGAGAGAGAGAGAGAGAAAAAGACAAAAATTTTCTCAAGCTTTATGATGTACAGGAGAGTAACATAATTGTTGTAACATAAACCCAGCAATTCTTAAAAGACAAATAAAGACAAATAAAAAGGTCTTCATATGCAAAACAAATTTCAGGAATTTTAGTTGTGTTCTTATGACTTCCGATGACTCCATGTGTGCTAGGGATGTCTACAGCCTAAATTTGAGATGATTTATGTATTGAACGAGAATTTTTCTTTCATGTTTCTTTTGGGGGAGAGCTTTTAATGGAAACAAATCTTCCTGTTACACTTCAATTTTATTCAGATACAGAGTTCTGTTATTTCAGGTAATCTGGCTTTTCTTACTAGGTATTTTACTGCAGAATCCCATTTTATATTCTCTATTCATCTGCAAAGCATCTAAGTAACAAACAAGTAAAGCCCTACCTTTTTAATTCTTTGGTGATGAAATTAAAGCTCCCCAAAAAGGAAAGCTTCAGAAATGAAATGGAAGTACAGTCACAGCGAAGCGAACAATTAATTAATTTTGTCTCTTACCTGACAGTAGCAAACCCCAGCAAGTTATGCACAAAGCTCAGCATAACAGGTTATGTAGTCTCTCATATTCTGAGAAAAATATGATTTCAATGATTTCTGAATCTTTTTTTTTTTTAAACCCAACAAGATGTTGTCTCACCATAAGGATGCAGAGGAAGGCCTCGTATTGTCTCACGTTGAACAGTGCTTCTTTTAGTTTGAAAGAACTGAGCTGCCTGTGTCTGTGCTGGTCTTCATGCATGGATTCCAACAGGGCTGTGTAACAGTGGGCTAGCACATGGCAAGTGTTGAGGCTGTCTTCCATAGTCCGTGTAGCTGATGGAAGGACTTCGTTCAGAATGGCTGGCACTGTTTGTATAGGATGAGAGATACATACAAAAAGAGTGATTTAAATCATTAGCAAATGGTTCCAGTACAGTATAAGGGCAAAGCAGTTTCCCAATAAAATTTTGATTTCTAACCTCTATCGTTATACTCCCAACTGTTTCTGTATAGATTCAGCCACCTGACTTACTAGTCAAGTTGTTCCAAACAGTCAGAATTACAGGTGTGGAAATATAACAGTCAAGGATTGTGAGAAAACTTGCTTTATAATAAATGCAGCTCAGCTGCTAACACTGACATGGGTTTCCTGTGAGTCTTTACGCAATCTGTAATTTTCAGTTCAAACTTTCCCCATCTGTAAAATACAAGTAACAAAGGAAAGTCCTGCCCTACTCTGAATATAGCTTTGGAAAAAAGTCCAGGATACCAACTGACATTTTCTACCATTAAACAAGCAGAAGGATTGAAAATCCAAAAGATTTTTGAGAACATGTTAAGAATCTGAAGGGGTTACTCTAAATTATCAGAACACAGATAACGCCCCAGCAACTTTTAAGAATTCTCATTACACTTCCTCAACAGAAAATTGTAATTGGATTGACAGTGTTCCTTCAAGATCTTAATTAACTGCTTTTTAAGGCAAACGTTACGCATTTAATTCACTTAATGGCCAAGGATCAGGGAACAAGTTATCACGAGGTAAATTAATGCATCAAGTTAATGCATATAATCCTTCTACATAAACCACGCCGGATTCTCTGTTAGCAAAATAGCAGCAGCCTACATGGAAACCTATACCCAAATACTAAATATGTACATTTCCTCCAGGTTTACAGGCCCTGGGTCAAAGCTGTTTATCTAGAGAGACGGGACATTACTGGAGCCACTCCAGCACAGAAGGCCAGGAACAATTAATTGGGAATTCACAACCCAAAGGCAGGTGTATACTTACAGTCATCGATACCCTTTCCTCCATTCCCACACTCCCTGTTGAACAATCGAATCCCTGTGACTAGCATGGCGAGATTTTTCAGCTGTTGCTCTTTATCCTTCTTACTGAACGAGATGAAGGCACTCAGAGCTGTCTGGGGGAATATACTCTGCAGGGCAGCTAGAACCATTGCAAAAGGTGAGAAAGCGGAAAATAAAATGATTAAACAAGCAAAAATAACCTCTCCTGAACAACAACTGCAGAAAGTAAAAATTATGGCAAATTTAGACTTCAAGGCTGAGCAGTGACAGTTCGGGCAGCAAGCATTCGTCAGGGTTTACCACATCAATATCTAAAGATCAGCAAACAGAAGGTAACGTTTTATTTTTCAGTAAGAAAAGTCCCATCTCACAACTGGAAGTTTACTGACCTGTTGCCTCCCTGACAACCTCAATATCTGTTGGGGATCCCAGGCCAGAGCTCAGCAGCACGTAGCTAACAATCATTTGATACACTTTCATCATTTCATCTGGCACGCGAGGACGGCTGTCTGTGATATCTCTGACCAGAGGAGCCAACCTTCCCTCCAGGACACGACGCTGCTCTCTGAGTAATTCAGCTAAGAAAGAAGGGCAGTTAGAAAGAGAAGTCTAAATCCTTTGGAATTTGGCTTGTACAGAGGGTGCAATTCATTACCACAGTCAAAGAGACACTTTAAGGTTTCTGAAGCACAGCTATGTGGAAGAGATGTTCAGAGCACCATACCTTTATAATTAACAGCAGTGGAGTTAAACTTTAGTACGATTAGCATCAGTCAGTAGAGGCCAGAGAAATATCCAGGCCAACTTGAAGCAGCAACTCTGGCTTTCTGGTCACCCCTGCTTGCAATAGGACACAGAATTCCTAACACACACCCTATAGTTACACACTCAATTCTGAACATCACCCAAGATCTCAGTAGTCCTCTTACTGGAGTTATTGAGCTTGTTGAGTCCAGAAGACTTTGGAGCCTAATTCTACTAATTTTTGGTTTTAGTATATGCTAACAAGAAAACACTTTCATGATACCCCCTGCAACCTCAAACATTTACTTTCCACCTACGCCTGATCTGTGTTTTCTGTGTCCCAGCCAGTGCTCACTGTCCCACTGAGGTCTGAATTTACAGCCAGAGCAGAGACTGTAACCCCATCTCACTTTGCTTCCACTTCCACATTCCTACTTTGAGACCATATGAAGTCACCACTGATGAGACCAAAACAGACTTGGTTAAAACTGTGGCTGTTCACGATTACTCATCTCTCTTAATTATCAATATTGATAGAACAACAGGTTCTCTTCCAGATACATGAGTGAAGTTCTGGGAAGTGTTTCTTTTTCAGCTCCACAGGTGCAGCCCAAGCTTTTCTTGCTGAAGAAAGCTAGGCAGTGTGCCTGAGAACAGAATTGTTCTGAAGTGATCTAAAAGCTCAGTAAGTCTCTCACACAGGAGGAGGCAAGCGTACTCTCAAATGTAGTGCACGTTTGTTCCCTAAAATATCCATACCAAAACACTGTACTCTTATACAGTACATCCCTCCAGGGATTTCTATTTTGCTTTGCTGCCAGCAGTCATTTAACAAGAATCAGTATTAGTCCCACACAGAGACCATAAAATCTAAACTCAGAATCAACTTATTCTACTAAAACATTTATTTGTATTGAAATTACCTCGGTTTGCATAGTCCATATCAAAGTAAACTTGCATCTTAATTGTGCTCAGGGATGGGTTTGTTGTGTCAAGCAGTCTGGTAACACAAAGCTAAGAGGAGAGACAGAAAAGATAATTCTTTCTAATTACTGGAGAAATTTCTGAACTGTTCAGATCTATATGACAGGTTTCCTAACAGCAGCAGAGCCCCTCCACTTCATTCTCTAGATATGCAATAAATACTATGAAGTATAAGGCATTTATTAACAGAGGGAACACATAGTCCAGTCTTTAATGATACTTGATTCTCACAGCTCTGTAGCTAGAGTTTTTTAAGTGTTGATATCAAAATAAAATGGCAATATAGGTACAGGAACAGGTAGCAAATAACGGTATGGTCTTAGCTAAGTACTGACACTCACACTCATGTCAAAATTACCTGGATAAGATTTTGCACATCTCTTTTTGTAAGGATTTGGTCCACATTAAATTCATTTCTTGGATCTAGAACAACAGCTTTCACCTAGAAATTGTCAAAAGAAAGCTATTAATTTATACCTCAGCATACACTCTTTGCATTTAGCCTTTTAAGTTCTGAAAAATCTCTGGTGTAGACAGCGTTTCCTCAGCTTTAAAAGGAAATAATTAAAGCTTAAGTCTTTTAACATTAACTTCACTTCCCCTTGTGATTTATCGACAGCTCGTGTTCCTGTAATCACTCTTCTTTGCAGCAAACCAGAATGCCACATACCTGTGAGACTTCCAGATGGAGTGAACAGCTTTGCAGGAGCAACTGTTCACAGTGACTGGGTCCAACGTTTAGGGAACGCAAGGCAGAAGAAAATCATTTATACATTTACTGCACAGAAGGAACTATGACAGAATTATAATTCAAAGTGGGAATCTGCAAATTTTCTTATCTGTAAGACCACTAAGATACTTCATATTATTCAATTGTGCAAAGAATTACTTGATACAATTTTAAAAACAAATATAAGTTTTATTATTCTTTAGTTTCATTTCAATCTTTGATAATGAAACAATGTCAGTCTATTTCACTTGTGTTGCCAGTTTCAATTTCAGTTCTCAGACATAATGGAATAAAAAATCGATTTGAAAAGAAATACTTTGAAAAGAACATTTTAAATTACAGCTCCTTTAAAAATGTCCCGGAAATATATTTTTCTAAGCAAAAATTTATAACAATTCATTATGTTTGTTTACAGACTTCTATGTTGGTGTTGAATGCATCAGTATAAATGCTTACCCTTTGGATAAAAAAATCATGTTCTGCATACAGAGAAATATTTGCATGCTTGCAAATGGTATTTATGCTGAGTGTCTTGCTAGCCATGTAAGTTTTTATCTGATTAAAATTTTCATGTTTAATTGATTAACACTGCTTTTGAACTCAAACTTATTTTTAAAGACATGCTGTTAACCTTTAGCTAGTTAAAAACAAGCTAACAAACAAAACAGCTTATTGCTGTGAACCAAGAAGAAATGCCATCGTGCATAATGGTTTTTAGGATATTAACAGTTGAAAAATTGTCCACCAATGACAACATAAAGATTGATTCTATTTCATTTCTAGTTTAAGTGTGATCCAATGTACAAAAGTGTGACCCATGTACAAAACCCAACCCTGACTAAACTCAGGAAAATAAAAAATAAAAAATAACAACACACATAAAAGAATCCATCAAAATAGATGGAAGAGGTAAATCACAAAGAATAAATATATCTGTTGCAATGAACCACCTATGGTATCATACCTTTTTGTTCATTTATGAAAGAGGTGGAAGAAATGTTATTAAAGCTCAGAAACAATCCTCATTTGCACTTTGGAAAGAAAAAGAAAAAAAAAAAAGAGTGGTTTAACTGCCTATGAAAGAAAAATGAGGGAGAACTGCTCTGTGTTCACAGAAGTCCCACGGCTCAGGACCTACAGCCTTTTCAGGGCCTTAAGTTCACAGTCATGGCATTTCAGACAAATGAAATACTTTCCGAGGTTGCTAAGACCCCATACTGAAGATCACCGAACTTCTTAATGTGGACAATCAGAAACAGACATTTCAAAATTAAAGTCACTCCGGAAAGCCTCAGCTGCAGCCACTCCAGCTTTGGCACCCTGAGATGAAGTTGGTATCTGACGTTTATTGATTTTTAACACCATAGGAAGATTTATTCCCTTGCAACTTTCTGCTCAGTCAGATAATGACAGGACAAAAGGAAATGGTTTTAAACTAAAAGAGGGGAGATTTAGATTAGAGGTTAGGAGGAAGTGCTTCACTCAGGGGGCGGTGAGGCCCTGGCACAGGCTGCCCAGAGAAGCTGTGGATGCCCCATCCCTGGAGGTGCTCAAGGCCAGGCTGGATGGGGCTTTGGGCAGCCTGGGCTGGTGGGAGGTGTCCCTGCCCATGGCAGGGGGTGGGACTGGGTGGGCTTTCAGCCGTTTTATGATTCTTTGATCATTCATTCTGGGTAGCGTCAGCAACTTTGGGGGAACTACTTACATTATGTAAAGTTTAAGATCCTGCATCACGCAAGCCTTGAAAGGAGGTTTGAACTGCCAAGCTACAAGCAGCCAGGTTTGGAAATGCTATACGCTCCTTTAGCACTATACAGGGAGCGAGATTTTTATTGACCATAACAGTACCTGAACGTGGCTGGCGAAACGCCCAGCTGGATTCACGAAAACACTACGACAACCCACTTGCTCTTACCATGAAAGCTACCAAGGTTTCGGAAACAGCCTGTCCCTTGGCGGCACACTCTTCTCCGACTTGGCGGATGATGAGCTTTATGACTCCTTCGGTCGGCTCGCCAGACATCATGGCCAGGCAGCGCCCTGACAGGCTTATACGGCTTCTCACCACGCTTCTCAGTGCCCTGCTCCCACCGCACCACGGCGGGCAGCGGGGACGCTTGTACCACAGCCTCCTGCGGCCTCTTATTTTCAGGCACCAGCGGACTGCTGAGCACTGAGGCATTTCCAAGCGGCATTTACCCGACGCCGCTGCCCGTTCCCGTGGAGACGGAACCGCCCCAGGGCGGGCCCGGGCCGCGGGGGGTATAAATGGGGGGGGGGGGGGGGGGGGGGGGGGGGTCTGGGGGCGTGCGGTGCCTGTGGAGGCATGGAGACATTTGAGTGGGATAGGTCTTATGGCATCAAGTCCAGCCTAACCTAGCGCTGACAGGCCCACCGTGTCCCCAAGCACCACATCTGAATGGCTTTTGTATACCTCTGGGGATGGTGACGCCACCACCTCCCTGGGCAGCCCATCCCCGTGCCTGACTGCTCTTCCTGAGGAGAAATGTCTGCTCATTGCCAACCTAAACCTCCCCTGGCCATTCCCTCTAGTCCTATCACTGGTTATCTGTGAGCAGAGGCCGACCCCCAGCTACCCAAACCTTCCTTTCAGGTAGCTGTAGAGACCCATGAGGTCTCCCCTGAGCCTCCTCCTCCGCAGATCAAACACCCCCAGCTCCCTCAGCCGCTCCTCACAGGACTTGTGCTCCAGACCCCTCACCAGCTTCACAGCCCTTCTCCAGACGTGTTCCAGCACCTCAATGTCTTTCTTGTACTGAGGGGCCCAAAGCTGAACCCAGCACTCGAGGTGCGGCCTCACCACAGCCGAGCACAGGGAGTCGATCACCCCCCTGCTCCTGCTGGCTGCACCATTCCTGACACAAGCCAGGATGCTGTTGGCCTTCTTGGCCACCTGGGCACACTGCTGGCTCACGGTCAGCCAGCTATCGATTGATAAATACCTCCAGGTCCCTTTCCATCAGGCAGCTTTCCAGCCACTCTTCCCCCAGCCTGTAGCACTGCATGGGGCTGTTGTGCCCCAAGCGCAGTGCCCAGCACTTTGCTGTGTTGAATTTGAGCCTCCCAACGTCTTTGTAGTCCTCCTGAGCAGCCTGCCCCTTCCTCCAAAGGTCATAAACCCTCTTTTTCTTCCTGAGCTCTAGCCTCAGCTCTCTGTTCAGCCAGGCCAATCTTCCACACCAGGTCATCTTCCGGCATGCAGGGACAGCCTGCTCCTGTGCCTTTAGGATTTCCTTCTTGAAGTGTCCTGTCTTCCTGGGCTCCTTTACCCCCTGGGAATGCTTCCCAAGGGATATTGTCTCCTAAGTCTCCTAAACAGGACAGCCTGCCTTCAGGAAGTCCCAGGCAGCAGTTCTGATACCCCCTATCCTTACTTCTCCTAGAATCGAAAGCTTTTATTTCATGATCACTATGTCCAGGACAGCAGCCAACCCTCACATCACCCCTGTCCACATCAACCCACATCACAAGTCCTCTGTTCACAAGCAAAGGGTCCAGCAGGAGCGACCTTGGCTCACTCACCAGCTGGGTCAGGAAGCTCTCTTCCACACACTCCAGGAACCTCCCTGGCTTTCTTCTCTGCTGTGTATATATACACGCATGTCTGCATATATGCAAAGCATATGAATGCAGAGGCATAAGTATAGATGTGCTTGTGTATGTAAACATCAACAGGCAAACCGTGTATATAGAAGCAAAAAGCAAGCAGGCAAGCAAAGAAGCAAGCAAGGCAATTATACATTTGCCAAAGAAAAACATGGTTTCAGGAGAGGTTTGCAGTCTCTGTTAGACCACAAAAAAATCATTTAGCTTGTCACTAAGCTACTGAAGTTGCAGAACACTATTTCGCATTAAAAACATTTGGATTGCTCCCCCATAATTTGTGTTAACTTTAAGTTTTAAACAGAGCTTCTGGAAATGGAGGCCTGGTTTATCCAGTGTTCTTGTAGCTAGAATTAAAGACCCATATTCCCTCCTCAAAAATCCCCTGTGTCAGCTACATAGAGCCCGTGTCATACTCACTTGAAAGACAGATAAACTATTCCCTCTAGTGGTGTGTCTGAGCCATTCACTTCTAACAAAACATGCATAGTAAAAAGATTCTTAGATTTGTGGTGTAAGGATTTACAATGTTAGTTTGCAGAATCATTAGAAACAACGCAGTAGTTTTAAAATTACTGCAGAGGTTGACACCCTAGTCCTTTCTTGAAGGGAAGGCTTATCACCTGCTTGACAAGTCTGCTTGCAGCTCAGTTAGCTTCTTCCTGTGCTCAGGCCTCCTCTGCTGGGTGGCTGCAGAAGCAATACAGGGCACCACCTGCGCCTCTCTGAAGATGCACCCAGGTGCAGGAATTCACAAGACAATCCAGGCTCCAAGCAGAAGTTGAGTTACCATCTCTTTTTGAATCGCTGAAGTTAAAACACGAGTGTTGTGATGCAGATTTTTGTTTGCTACATTTCAGGGTCTTGAAACTACCTTGCACCTTGATGCAGAAACTAACGTGCAATTGGTTGCCCTTCCATCTGAGCATCAGGAAGCTCTTCTTTCTGTGCAGCTGTTGGAGCACTGGCACAGGTTGCCCAGAGGGGCTGTGGAGTCTCCATCCTTGGAGATCTTCAAAAACCATTCAGACGTGGTCCTGGGCAGCCTGCTTTGGGTGGCCTTGCTGGAGCAGGGGTTGGAGCAGGTGGCCTCCAGAGGGCTCTGCCAACCTCAGCCACTCTGGGGTTCTGTGATCTCTGCTTCTGTCAAAGGAGCAGTGCCAGGAAAGCACAAGAATGAAAAGCCTGTCTCTTTTAAGAGGGAAATGTCTGGCTTTTAATATTTTTATAGAATCACACAGAAGTCTCACAGTCAGAAATCTACACTGTGAGGGCAGAAGTGTGATGCCACCTTCCTGAATTTGTCTGTTCACAGGAAAACTGCTTTTTGAAGCTGAGAATGTTTTGGTGCACGGATTTTTATCCTCTCTTCCTTCTCAAGCCTGCACATCACCAACCGGAGGCCCTGTCCTCGTGGTACCCTGCTCAGAGCACACTGGGATGCCCGCAAGCTGCACTGACCTGCTCTGCTCTAAGGACACATTCACACAAGAGCATGCAGCACTACTTTAAGTTTCCAGGACTATTTTAAGTCCTGGAAAGCGATACAAGTGGTAGGTATACACCCATTTCAGCCTCTTCAAGGCAAGGTGCAGGCTGTTTCTTCACATGTAAGGGAATCCCAGATGACATCTATAGCAATTATTTAAGGTATCATTAAGGGTTTGAGCCTCCCTGTTAGAATACAGTAAAGGAACATTAAATTGTTCTCCTGCTCTCTTCTCCCAGCTCCATCATTTTGCTGCTGGGTATGCCTGCTCCGTGTCTACCCCCAGTTCCTCTGATATCAGACTTTCACCACAAGTATGAGGGTACCTGACACGGAGCACAGCCTTACTCAGTGTACAGAGAACTCGGGTCAGGGAAGCTGACGCTTGTCCCGGTGATGAAAGAGTCTCCAAGGCAGCAACATTTTGGTGGCCAAAGAAATCCAGTTTGTCTTTTACCTTGAAAATAATAATAATTAAAAAAAAAAAAAATAATCCCAGATTTCATTCACAGATAGCACAGCACAAGAGGTTTACCCTTGATTTGAGCAGTTATAGGAAACGAAACAAAACAAAACAAAACAAAACAGTGATGTATAAATGAGTTAACAAATACATTATTGTTAGCCAGGATCCTTTGGCCAGCACAATGGATGCACTGTACTTGCTAGGTTACAGAAAGGGTGGGGAGCAGAATTATTTGTCCTTCAAACCTTTCGAGAGGAGGGAGCGGAGAGATTCCAGACATACCATCACTAAGTGCCTCAACTGGAAACTCCTGCAAAAGATGCATTATGCAGCTGCATTCAGATGAATCACTACCTAAGGCTCCGCAGCAACTTTAACATTTCAGTTAAGGCATTAATAAAAACAACACAGATCAAGAAATTTTTCCATTTATCATCCCTCTTTAAAAATGCTTTAAATTAGACCTGGGACACATACACTACTTGTTATAGGTCAGGTAGTTCCCTTATATACCTTTTGAGTTATGTTTCAAAACAGGTGCAGCTTGGCCAGCAGCCCACGCTGGTATTTCATGGGTTAGCTAGCTATTAACTAGTTCTTATGTCCATACAGCTGATAAAAAATCAGTAACTTCAACGTCCTTTTCACAGGAGACTACCTTCTTGCACAATGCTATAATGAGTCCTTGTAACAGTCCCAAATCCCACAAATATGCAACAGCAGAAAAAAATGCAATACACTGATTTCCCTACAAGTCCAAGAGGTGTAAGAAGCTGCTGCTGGGCAGTATCCCATCCTGATGGGATGTATCAGGAGATCAAGGACTGGGGACTTTCTTCTTAGGCTATAGGAAATTCTTCCAAAGTCGTGGAAACACAACTATCCAGCATGAAGACAAAGGAGGGAATTGTCTAGGAAATATGTAGTTATGGCTCTGACCCCATTAGTGGAGAAGAAAACTGCACTAATAATGGGACAATAAAAATGCTGCAGTTTGTAAATCAGCTTCTCACTCAGCTCACTCTTCCAATTACGAATTTCTCACTTCTGTAAAGGGATGCTCACTTCTGTACAAGGATGCTCTTCATTCAGCTGTCAAAATGTAAGAGCATGATCAGTGAGTCAGACTGAGAGGGGAAGAGGGTTGTTATCCACACTACCTCAGAAACAGAGCCCTCCCTGCAGTGTTTTCCCCATGTCAAGACATTAGCTGAGAACCAACCCACCAAATGGATGGATGCCCTTGAAATTACGTGCAAATTTGCAAATCTTTCTACAAAATTGTGACCTTTGTTGCCCCAAAGCAATTCTATTCCCAGTGCAGCTTCTCTCCCCTGCAGCAGCTATTAAAGCTTAAGATCCTGTAGATTTGTGATGAATACTTGAGTAACACTTTAGACAGCCGTGCGTGTAGCAACCTTCAAAAGGAGTGCTATAGACTGGAAAAAAAGTGATTTTTTAACATCGTGGGGTGCCTGGTAACTGTTAGAGAAGCAAAGAGCAGCTGAGTTAGCAGTTCTTACCTTTTACTTTAAAAAGTGAGTTCTAAGACTCTCCTGCAGATGCACAGCACTGGCCAGCTGCGGTTGTTTTTTTCAGTCTCACATGTCAGCTAATCTTGTTAATGGACATGGAAAAAATACTTAGATAGAAAATGCCACGAGGAGATAGGAATCCAATTTGTGAAATTACAAGTACAGAAAACACCTGACATAGAAGTAATTTAGTAAAGTCATTTAGCCGTAGAAATAGAATACGATTGAAAAGGAGTTAGAGATGGGCATTAAGTCCATTTTGCTGAAACAAAGAAAGGAGCATTTTCCCTGGCATGAACAAATATTTAAGGACAGTTGGTTTTGCTTTGAATCAAAGGCACGTCGTATACAAAATTCTGAAAATCCTTTGCTAGGGTATTTTACCAGGCTGACTCTCTGTGACCTCCCGTTCAGCTCCTTCCTTTCACATGGAGACAACTGAAGT